ATACGTATGTATGATTTCAATCCAAACATCGCACCACCATTTGGGATAAGGGTCATGAAGGCTATCAAGTACAGATATGTTAACACACATCCATATGCTCGTTAAATGTCTTAAGATGCATAAATGGTTGCGATAGCATTAGTATTTATATACATATGTATGTACATACATATGTATGTTAGTGTGGGTAAAAACAAAAAATATTTTTTTTCATACTTATATTTTCAGAGTACCAAGTACATATGTATGTTAGTGTGGGTAAAAAAAAATAATATATTTTTTCATACTTATATTTTCAGAGTACCAAGCGAAAATAAAAATTCGTTTATTTTGACCCTCCCTAATAAAATATAATTAGATTGAGGCATACCCGCGAGCTAAGGTCTATTGTGCCTTCCCCTCAGCCACAACTCATCACATAGGCCCAGCACACTGATAATTCCAGTATCCTGTTGTGTGCTATTGAGGCGATGTGATCCCTTTTCAGATACATAGGGCCTTTATACTGCGTCTACAGACTACTATGTGAGCAGGTGCTCAGCGGAAGCACACAAGATTCAGTAATGTCAGAAAACATGGTGAAGCTTCGTAAACTTGTGTTTGCCAGACTCAAAAAGTAGCTCGATAGAAAAGATTTCACTGAAATGCAGAGGTCAAGATAGAAAGAAAATATGTATTTTGAAGGCATAGAAAAATTTAAGAACCATTATAACAAATTCATTGCTCCAGAAGATATAATACTTAGTTAGGTGGTTTCGTGGGAGAGATATGAGTTGAATGTAGGTTAGGTATATCGAATTAAAGCTACGCACTCCGGCTTTGGATGCTTCTCTCTACTAAAAAGATGAAAATTATGTCGAAATATTTTATTCAACACAGTATTCTTTCATTGTTATGGTAACGACTTTCCAGCCCATGTAGAACCACAATTTGTGATATTTTGTTAATTAGTAAAAGAAAAAATTCATTTTTTCAATTCATAATTGTCATATTCACAGTTAGTATATTAAAATTGCATTTATTCGTTTCATAAATATGTTTGCGTTATTCAAATTGGTCAACAAATGTCAACAAAACATCGAGATCCGGCATAAGCTTTACCCCAGACAGATGGCTGGTGGAAAAAACTTATTTTCACCGATAAGAAGGCAGACACAAAATTTAATCTGCAAGAAATTATTCTATTCTTATCTATAAATGTAAATATGTGCGCTAAAATAAATGCATACATGCACGTACATATATATTATATATATTATATATAAAAATAAAAACTTCTCAAATGCAATTAGATATGTCCTCAAGTTGGAAGTCATGAATGGAGGCGTACAAGACGATATATCAAATTCATGTAATCGAATCAAACAAGAACAATAAAGTAAATATACTTATAAGCGCGCAATTTCGTGGTGTCATCTATTTATTGTTTATATGGTATATATGTATATTTAAATATGTTCGAGTATCTATATATAATACTGAGTATGTATGGAGGAAGCGTGTCATTAATGCCAATGAAATTTAAAATATTATTAAATGATTTTTATATTCTGAACAGGTTATATTAAGCTTACCACGAAGTTTGTAACGTTGGAGTCCCTATAAAGTATAAAGTATATACATATATCAATGATCAGTGTAACAAACTGAGTTGGTTTCGCCATGTCCGTTGTCGGTCCGCCTGTATATACGCGAACTAGCCCATTTGAAGTTGTGTCTTGATTGGAATCGTCGATATCGGACCACTATAGCATATAGCTGCCATACAAACTGATCGATCAATACCATGATATAGATCTTTATATATATATATGAATTAAGCTATAAGAAATAACTCTGTGAAAGTCATAAAAGCTGCGGTGCAGCTGCGGTTAACGTTCTTTCTAGTCTTATACCTTTTTTGAATATACCTATATTTGAAATACAAAAAATGACTAACTTACCATACTACCCTAGTTCGTATTTTCAAATTAAGCACACATTTTATTGCATTCACAGTCCCGCTCGCAGGGGGGTGTTCGTCTGATTTTTATAAATTTCATTATTTCGTACCTAAACTTATAATAAAACAGAGTCTACAATAATACTATACTTATACAAACTGTAGCCTACTATAAAAATTAAAAAATATGCAGTCCCTGATTTTAAAAGCTGGCTACTATTGATTTTAATATTTTTTCTTATTAACTAATCTCGGCTGGTTTAGCGCATCCGTGTGAGCCACAAATATTTGAAATATTTAAAACGTTCCAAGAGAATGTTGATAAGAGTTTTATAGATAAGGCTGCGAAAGTCTTTAAAAAGCTTTATAATATAACCTAGAATGACATTTCAATATTCATATTTTATTTTAGGGGAATTAATTATATTAAAAATAAATTTAATTAGCCGTATAGAAGACACATTTATTGCGCTCATTTAGATCAGATTATCACTTAAGCATGAGAAGCTAAAAACATTCAAGGCTATATAAATACAAGTATGTTCTCGCTGTTAGTATTAAATTTTGAAACGTATGTGTTTTAGCGATATTTCTGGAACTGTTATGTAATCGAATAACGGTTACGAGCTGGCCCTTTCGTTTTTATTAATAGTTTTCTGTTAAATTAATGTACTCGGAATATATACACGTAAGAGGTAATCTTGATAAAGATTAAATTGATTTCAAAATACTAATCCATTTTGACGCCATGATGTATGTGAATTAAAAATGATGTCACATAAATTTCCCGCGATCACAAATATTTATTTATTTTTTGCAAAGCGAAAGGAAAATAACTTTATAGTCTCTATAATCTGATTTTGTGTCATAAATAGATGAATTCGATTCCTATATGCCTATACGGAATTCAAATATTTTTGCCCCTCAGGTTGATATTTTTAAGACTGCAGGCTTCTCGATATGTAACACTCAATTATACAGACCTCAAAATACTCTTTTGCATCACGATCCAGATTTAATTTTAAACGTTTCGTTTCGTTCGTTTAGTGTATGAACTTGCACTACATGCTATAAAGTTTAGCATTAATTGTTTTGGAGATCCCCTGTTGATGTACCCTTGTAAGTTAAACATTTGCTTTAATTAGTTGAAATCGCATCTCTAGTTTTATTTGTATGAAATGAACCACAACCAGTAGCGCCTATTTGTTTATATTTGCTGTCACTTCTTCATAAATTTTATGTCTACTCATTATTATTCGATTTGAAAATATTTCTTGTTCATTTCTTTCTTTATCTCCGTTAGTTTATTCGCTTGACTTTAGAAAAAATTTGTTTATAAGAATTATGATATGCTTAACGAGTAGTAATTTAAATGGTGATTTTTAGTTGTTGATTTTTGAGGCGATAAGCGATACTGGACTAAAATAGAAAAAGTTGCTTCAAAGTGACTATTTTTCGTATATTATGATGTCTTTAAAAATTGTATAAAAAATTGCATCTACTTTGAGGTGGGTTTCATATGGTAACTGTATTTCAATCGTCAAACCGTAGGAAGTGGCGTATCGAACAAACAGCAGGTCTAAATGAAAGAAACTGAGGTGACCAAAAAGTGATGGAATAAGAAATGCTTATACCACTTTAAAAAAGGTATTTATTTTGCAAATTGGAATTCAAACACAGCATAGAAAGTAGAAAACGTATTAAATGATTATCTTACTTCTAATATAAATTAGTATAAAAACAGTTGCAGCGGGGTATAAATTTGTTACCAAGGGGGGATATGATTTTATCTAATAAGCTTCAATTATTTTGAAACGCAAAATGTTTGAAATCAATTGCCAAAAAACTAAGCATTTGCAAGAGAGCTTTTGAAACATTTTCTAAGATATATCAAAATATTTAAATATAATTCATCAATACAGCAAAAAGGACAAACTTTTTTTTTTTTTACAATAAATCGTGAGCACTATTGTTTCATTCCTCATTTAATCTAATTAATATATATAATATATGCATATGGATGCACTTCATTTACAATTTACAACTCGTAAGTGGATTATAAGTATACTGTACATTTTCTCTGGTTGGGAAAATTTTAAGCAGAAGTTAAAAAATATTTAGTTCCTTAACAACAAAGAAAACCAAATTATAACTCACGTTTTTAAGCATTTATTTAATTGTGAAGCTATTTTATTCCACATTTAAAATATTATTTTTTTATTTTTAATTAGTATTAAATCAGTATTTTAAGCATATCTGCCAATACATATTTGTATACGCAATATATACATATGTCTATGTGTATATGTGTGTGTGTATTCATTAATTTTTTTAATAACTTATATTAGGTCTGTTTCGTCTTAAGCGAGCGGCAAAATAACGCTCAAGTCAATTACAATTTCCCTGAAGGTAAATAGCAATAGTGATAACAACTCAGCTATCATTTATTTTTGTTTGGAATATGACAGCAGTCGTTTGAAAAAATGTTACTTCATTTGAAGTAGTTTTCAGCCAACTCACTTCACTCGGAAAAATAAACATGTTTGTGCTGTTGTTTTAAATTGTTTCGTCTTTTTCGCGAGTATTCTTTTTGCAACTCGCTTACTAGATAACTATACTATTTTCATTTTTATTATTACTAACGTAAATACATATATTATGTTGCATTGCATACTTTAATATCGTTTAAGGCATTATTCCCTAAAATGTCATAATTATTTTGTTGCATCTTTCAAAGCTAAAAAGGCTTAATGCAAAGCAGTTTGTTAGCAATCAAATTAAGTTTAATAATTTAAAAATTGTATACATAAATATTTTTAAAAAAATCTCATATTTTATGGTTAATTTGGGAAACACTAAGCACCAAATCCTGTGGCTAAAAACATGAGGTGACATAAGCAAAAGCAAAGGGAAGTTGCAAAATGAGAAAAAACAGTATAAAGTGAACTTTTTGTTTTTATAAAAATGCAAAAAATATTTTTAAAAAAGTTGCTTTTAAAAAATGCTTCTTTTAACAAAGTCTGAATAATAAACAATTTTGAATTAATCAATATTGAAGTATTACAACATTTATATAAAGTTTTATTTCTCTTTTGAACAAACAAAATCTAAATATTAAAAGTTTTACTGCTTGACTACTAATTTTCAGACTAATTTTATACGTTTGGTGAAAAATATATTTAAATTACATTATTTAACAAAAATTGTGTATATTTTTCACATATAATATTATCTCTGTTGCTTCACTATGTTCTTAGTCTAATATGTATATAAAAGAGACTCTTAATTTCGTCAATCAACAAATTTTCTACAATTTTGAGAAAATTCGATGCTTGATTTATTTAAAAAGCTGTTTATAACGCCCGGAAAAGCATGTCTTTAATGTCTTCTGTCTACTAAATTCTTTCTTAAGGCCGGAAAATAAAAAAATTGTATTAAAAATTTTAATACTATTATTATTGTTGTTTTGTACAAGCTTGTAAAGAGGTTCACCTTTAATTTTTACTAATTAAAAGCACTTACAACTTTTATATTCATATAATTTTTGTTTAAACTTTTAAATCAAATCGGGACACATAACATACATATACTTGTATTCTACAAACGTACATACATATTTACAAGTTTATTCCAAATATGTTTGTGTATGCTTTTAATAGAGGAACTTAAGCTTTAACTTATAAAATAAATTCAATTTTATTTTAGTGAAATAAACACAATATGCAATAATTCGGAATAACATAAGTATGTAGAAGTATGTACATACTCGCATTACCTTAAAATATAACCTTTTTAGCGCTGAGTTTGTTTAATTTAATATTTCTTAAAACTAAAGCCTACATAATTTTATATTTCATAGCCTTTACCTTTACCGCTTTTTAGTTTATTTCTCGTCACTTCCACTACTCTCTATAAGTTCCGTATTAAACATGGCTCTACAGAAATTCACCATACCACGTGAGAGTTTACCATAGCAAGCTGGCTTATTCTTACGCGCTATGCATAGATAATAAAACGGTATACCCGCAACGGTAATGCCGATACCTACAATGAGATTCATCGGATCCTTGAAGCTTGGCAAGAGCACCAGGGTCAGGCAGCATATAATGAAGATTATTGGCAGTGCCAGATGCACGCGAATAGGTCGCGGAATGTTCGGTCTGTAAGTGTAGAAGCATTAGTTACTATAACACTAGAAAATTATTTGCAAAATTTGCATTTACTTGGAGTGACGCATCCACAGCATACCCGCTATGCTGGCGACCACCGACAGCCACAACATGGCGCTGAAGTAATTTATCAAAACGTAAACGTTGGCAGTGAGTAGTGTCAATAGCGACATGATGCACTGTGTAGATGACAAAAAATCATATATAAATTATGTTAGCATATTTTACTCCTACTCCATCTCAATTTGTGTCACTTACCGAGAATATCAGTGATGGTATGGGCGTTTGTTGTTTGATGTGGAATAGTGTAAAGAATTTAGGTAGATGACCTTCTTGTGCTCCCGTCGCGAAGAGACGTGCCGATGTGAAGAGCACACCGTTAACGCCACCGAATGTGCTAAGCGCCACAAATATCGGCACCATGAAGGCGAGCGGCCCGAATACACGATTACCGAACGTGACCGCCACTGCCAATGAGCTGAGCATTTCCGTTTTCGAGACCACCACAAAGTAGGCGAGATTCACAAGCACATAAATACCGGTGACTAGGGGCATAGCAATCCAAATAGCGCGTGGGAGATTCCTAGAATGGTAGTGAAAAGATCATATAAAATGTTGTAATAAAAATGTATTGTAAAATCCGCGTTGTGAATCGAACTTTTAACCAACCCACCAGTTGCCTGTGTAGTCTGTTTCTTATACTGCATATCTTTGCCTTTTTAACCTTTTATAAGGATTTACTACATTTTTTGCCTTTGGCCACTGAAAGAGATTAGCAATAAAAGATCGGGGTTCTGCTCAGAAGTCTCTTTCTGGTAGTGAAATTGAGTAGTATAGTGCAAAACAACTAAATCGTAACAATTTGGTTTGAATTTTCGACCTAAATTTACACAATATATCTGGGAACCATCAATAAATATTCTCTAGATTGTAATTCCGCGTTCTGTTTCGAGGTTGAACTTTAACCTTAAGATTGCGAATTCCATATATATATATGGGCAGTATCCTGTCTTATCATAATCATGAAAGAACTTTCCAAATTATATTCATCCCAATGGAGGGGAATTTTTTTTTTGCCCAGTTGGTGGTAATTATATAGAAGCTTTAATAATATTTTCACTTACAGATACTGAAGATTACTTTATATATAGTGAAAATATTTCTTATTTGTTTATTATTTGCTTTCGCCGGTTAAAGTAGATAATTATGCAAGATAAATGTATACTAATTTACATATTCACTTATTTCACATCTGATAAGTTATCCGTATAAGTAAATCCGAGTCGGTTAAGCGGACACATAAACAGCTGTTCATTTAACAATTCATTTTTTTTCGAAATTAACTCTCATGAATTGCAAATCACAGCAATTCAACAAGTGTCAAATTGCATACATACATATATAAATATCAATCGTTGTAGCATGATGAGTGTTATGTAGCTAGGAGTACGTACCCTGCAGGAAAACCGAACGCATTGATTCTGAACAGATAATGTTGTTGTAGATTTTAGCTACTGCACACTATTTTGTGCATACATATGGTAGCTACATACATATAGTAGGTTCTCCTGTCTCCCAATTATATATTGCTTTTACCAATTATCGAGTACAGCCTGTTTTTGGTTATGCAATTTATGTGCATACCTACATTTATTCTAATTTTCAGTCACAGTAAAGAACAATAATTTTACTACTACTACTACTAGCCATTGCAAATTTATAAAATCGACCCGCAATCTTAGCCTTACATACATACTCGTATATCATATATCATATTAATTTCTATCCAGCCAATCGACTTTATATAACCCTTTTTCAGTCAAAAATGGCTAAAATATTTCTATGAATCGTTGTAGATATATTGTTTCTGTCTATGACTCAAATATTCTGTGTGTACATCGATTAAAAAGTATTAGTACATCTATTTGACTTTCCATCGCTTAAATAAACAAAGTTTGTCCTACTGAGACAGCTCGCAGAGTACTCCCACGCTGCCTTCATTTGCAGCTACCCACATTTGGGTATTCGATATATACATATGTATAAGTTAGCGTGAAATTTATGTGCATACATATTCTGGAATCAACTGGTGGGTTTTCCTTTCCACAAACGCCGCGACCAATGAATGAGCGCTTGACAAACACATAAAATCACTTGAACTTTCACTACAAAATAAATGGCCTTCAAGGATTGTTAAATGCTTTATTTTAACGCACACGCACACCTACATCCATTTTATAGACACACCATTCATCAGGGTGTAGAGCTGCTGGAAACTTTACTTTTATGCGCAATTAAGCCACTTGAGCGTGATACAATGGAGGAAGAACAGACGTTGCACAAATAGGATTGCTAAGCAAACAGGATAAGAAACCGGCGTGGATGAGTTGCAAAGAAATGGACGGAATGACGCAAGCAGTTGATTGACACAACACTTTAGAAAATTAAAGTTTTCAGTTAAATTGAAATTTTATTCCATTTCTGGCATACCACTGATGAAGAGTAATCACAGAGAACTAGTTTGGTGTGTTCAAAAAGTATGAGCCGTTAATTTGACCAACTTAAAGGGAAAACAACTTAAAATTCATATTCAAAATTGTGTTTTGAGTAACAGTCTTTTGCAGTGTAGCCGTTCAGTACAATCAGCTTAATCAAATTATCCTTAAACGTGTTTTTCCCAAAACTGTCGTTTACTCAAAACTAGGTTTTTAAGTTCTTTGATTTGATCAAATTTCGAATAGAAAATTACGAGAATTTTATGTACAATTAAACTTTTTTTTAAAACGCCGCCATTTTGTTAATTTTTGATTTTTTCGACCGTTGGTCATTGTACGGGCATCTCGGATATTTTCTAGTAAGGAAATTGTTTTTATGGTAGATTTCAACCACGGAAAAGGCCAGAACCACTGCAGCAGTGAAGCACCTTCTTAGCGCCATCGGATATTTTTTTCTTAAAAAATTTTGCTATGTAATCTTAAAATATGTATAAAATTACCGTTAAAATTTTTAAACAATTGATATAGTAGTTTTATTTTATCCCAAAAATTGTCTTTATTAGGCTGTCACACTAAGTGTGCCCTTTAATATTAATTTCTATTTTATCGATAAAGCTGTACTTTGACTGCAGTAAACACTCTTTACGAGCCACCATCGAGAGAAATAATCTCATGCTTCTACAAATCATGATATCCTGATGACCCAACACTTTCAATTTACAGAAAAATTTATTTTTTCCATAGGTATAGATCGACCAAGTTCTAGACTATTAAGCAAATCCGATTATTGTTTCTCATTTTGGTGAAAAGTCAAATAACCTTTGTAACACAGGTTTTGACCTGAAAATATTTGCTAAAGAATTGGTTTAGATTTGATTCGTCAACTCATTTATCATTCAAACATATATTTCATAATATTTCAGAACTAGAGTACAGCTTAATATTAAAAACCTTCACCAGGTTTTAATTTCAACTCTACTAACTATGTGTTGGCTTCTTAATTGGTTTGTGGTTTTCAATCGAGAATGTTCCATCAAAAGGTTAGTTTGTGTAAAGTCTGTTCTTACAAAAGATTCTTGTCTATTTCTTTTTTCTGTTGTAAAGTAAGCTTGCTCTCCTTTCTTTCTTTGCTTCAATAGAATTTTATGAAAAAACTGAGTACTTCTCGTGCTTTCTCATCAGAATACCAATCTTAGTGCGAACATTTTTAAAGTCTAATAAATCGTTAAATAATCCTTTTTTTATAACCATAAATTTTTGCACATATGAGAGGTCATAAATCAGATGACAATGATCATTTTAAAGCAAATAATCTTACTCCAAATTCAAACGCGATTTCAAACACATTTTCAAAGGCAAATTTCGAATTTTTTTTCGTTTAAACTAAACTTTTAATAAACTCACTTGTAAGGATCCTGCAATTCCTCCGTTACAAAATTTAAATAATTCCAACCACCGAATGCAAATAGACCCGAGTAAAAGGCGAATCCAATATTGCCCGCATCATAATTGCCCTCCCAGGCGTTTTCGAAATTCTCAAAACGGCCCAACGCCAAATAGTAGAGGCCAGCTAAAATGACCATGACTAATGCCACAAGTTTGCCGGCGGTGAAGATGTCCTGAACTTTCATCGACCATTTAACGGATAAACAGTTAATGGCAGTAAGCAAACCTGCAAATATATGCACATATAATTAAAAATATATTTATTTCGAATTTACAGCCGTTAATTGATAATGAGTTTAAAGCTAAAACAAAGCAAAAACTGATTTGTTAATGATGGTGGGCAAAAAAGTGGGCAATCGGGTGGCGTGTTGTGCGAGATAGTGTTTACAAATGTAAAAGGAAGTTTTGAAATAAATGTTATTTGTGTGTGTGTGTGTGTGTGTGTAGTGTAGGCTGTTGCTTTAATGATGGTAATTTGTTAAATATACTTGGTTTAATAATTCGTTATCAGCGTAAACAAATCACGTGTGGCATGTATGCATACTACATATACATGCATACGCATGCACATATGTATGCGCATATTTATTTATAAATGTATTTTAATTTGTTTCCTCCTCACTTACACAAACAAATTGCCGCTAAAATCTTTACAGCCGATTCTGGCGGTGAGCAGTCTTCGAAAAATGGTTTTGCCGCGTATTGTGCGAAAGTCAACGCGACAATTGTCTGGAAATATGAAAAATACATATGTACATACGAACATTAAAATAACAAAGTGACAATAATAAAATTAATTGTAATTAAATTTGCTGCAATTCATTAACACATGTAAACAATTTGCGGTTAGTTATTGCTCTATATTGTATACTTACATTAGAGTGTATCAAAATTCGTTTAATTTTTATTAGCTCTTACTCACTCAAATGCTTCTAATTGATTCCATTTAAAAAAAACCTTACCAAATATGCGCTCCCAACTGTAAGCGGTTTTTATTTTAGTTTCTAATATTATTTACAATTCTCCAAATTTCAAAATTTTTATATGGTTATATGGTTGTAACTATTCTTCTTGTAAAGATGAGCATACTCTGTCTTTGAATTTAGTAAAGCTCTAAGACTCAATTTTAAGGATATAAAACATATAAAACAGTTTATTATAAAAAGTTGTGTTAATTATGTGTAAATAAAATTTATATTAATTACGTGAGAAACTTACATAGACTTAAAAATCGTAGGAGAACTTTTTTGTAGAGTAATCAATTTTCTACACAATTTTTGAAACCAGATAATTTTTCAAATATTTAGTATCGCGATTTGAATTTTTCTATCCTATAATAAGATAAAAATAGAAACCGTAATACGAAGGGTTCCTTCTCATTACAATTAAGAGATCATATTTGGAGAGAATTTTTTAAAGGTGCTTAAGAAGCTATTTTCCAGAGTACCAAGCGAAAAAAATTCGTTTTTTTTTACCCACCCTAATACATACATATACATATTGCATATTTACGTTAATATAATTTTAAAATAGAATTTATTTATGGTACATAACTACATACATATATGCAAATACATATATAAACATTCATACACTTACTAATATAGTATAACTACTTTATTGCGCATAATTATAAGCAAATATTCAATAACAGTGAGCGAGTCCACAGGGTTTTTCAATTTGGACTGATCGTTACTGGTGGTCCGTGGCGATCATAGTATATACAAATGTATATATATATAAAGTTTTTCATCTATATTTCGTTTATTATTAAAAACAAAAACAAGAAAACATCGTTAGCATCGGCTATATACCCTTTACAAGTGCATTCCGTATAGCATATATGTGGCAGCTGTATGGCAGTTATATGCTACTATGGCCCGATCAGAACAGTTTATTCGGAGATTGTAATTCAAATAGAACTGTTTTCCATACAACAACTTGATTAGGATCCAGCAGTTTGTATGAAAGCTATATGCTATAGTGGAAAATATTGGCAGTTCTGTCAAGTGAACAGCTTCTTAGGAAGAAAATGCACAATTTTAGATCAATATGTCAAAAACTATAGGAATAGTTCCCGTATGTACCGACAGACTTGGCTAAGTCAGTTCATTACGCTGATTATTTACACCTATATATATACTTTACAAGGCTACCGACGTTTCCTTGTAGAATCGATACCCTTGTAGGGCCATGCTTTTATTACATTTCCTCATCAACCGATCTATATTGAATCTCCCTGTATCTTTTGTTTTTTTGTCAAACATGACCAGTTTTGAAAATATTATGTATTTATTCGCGATGTGAGTTCCTAATAAATGAATATAGTTATAATTATAGGAATAATTTATGCTTGTTATACTTCTGATAGCTTTATTTTTAATTTCCCAGTAGTTCTCATTAATAAATGATTCATCATTTGACGCGTGCAAATAACAATAACAAATATGTGAATATACACACGAACATATTTTGATGTAGGCTACTATAATAACATATAACATAATAACATATATGCATGTATGTATATAATTAAGCTTTATGAAATGGAAAGTAAACTATGTTTATTGTAATTAAATAAGTTATGTCACCTTGCCTACTTAACTCGCTTAACCTGACATACTCCACTGCAAATATGAAAGTAAGCTGAAATTTTTAATTTCATAACTCACTAACTGTAAGGCCAGCAATTATTTTCAAAAGCTCAGAACTGGTTATTATTTTAAATTATAATGAATTAAAAGAGAAATTAAAAATAGCACGGATTCATCGACCTCAATTTATTTCTAGCAAATTTTTTTTTTTTGAGAATCAGTTTTAATGAATCAAGTTCAATTTATTATACTTTTTTTCAACAACAAATTTTGTTTAATTTTTTTAAAAACATATATTCACTTGTAACTCGGAAAAGACGCGATTTTCTGTGAATTTTTGTTTAAGAGACATTATAATTATAATTTAAAAATAGTTGAAAATAATGTTCTTTTACAGATTTTAATGTACTTTAATATCTGGTGATTTATTGGGAAAAATTGTGGATTCTCTTGATCCCGTAGACAATCTCCGAAAAAAGGTGTCTGGCAGTGAGGTAAATTGTTCTGCTTAAAATTATCTCAAATCCAAAATAACAAACAAAAAAATTTATTATTGCTATAGATGACGACAGGTAATGATCAAAATTTGACAAAATTTAAACTTCAGAGTGGCTTAAAAACCGAAATTACTATCAAAATTCATATTTCCTCACCAGCTCTTAAAACAGCATTTCGAAAAAACACGTTTAAAGTTTTAGAAGCTGCTTACTTCTTAAAAATACGCTCGTATCTACGAAACCATTCGCCGAATTATTATTAAATTTTTGAGTAATATTTTCAAATATATGTACATACTCGTATGTATGTACATTCGATATTTTTACAATAACAAAAATAATTTTTTTGAAATTCCCAAGTGGATATAATACCTTAAATTACTTTCAAAATATAGCGGTATCCTCTGCAAGCGATATTTTTATTGAAAATATCCTACAATTTTTCATTAATTTCATTAATTAGTTTTTCCGTAATATTTTTTTTCATTAATAGTGTTCTGAAAGTAAATTCATACAGGTATTTATATTTATTTATCCAAAAAGCTAACTAGCAAGCAACAACCCCCTAATTAAATCGAGTTATTTATAAGGCTTTTTTGTTTATTTACACGTGTATAATCTACATACATACATACATTCACATATAAATATGCACATGTCTACAAAACTCACCTGTGTTGTTGGTCTAATGATTAACAAAGCTATCCATAATCTCAAAAAGCCGACTAGCGGTCCAAATGCCACCAACAAATATGCATAATCGCCACCCGAACGTGTGATGCTCGTACCCAACTCAGCATAGCAAAGCGCGCCGATTGTCGAGAGTATGCCGCAAGCAGCCCAAATGAGCAGAGACGAGCCCACCGATCTGAAAAGGTTAAACAAGAAATATAAATAAATAAATTACTAATGAATTTAAATTTGTTGCTATTATCAATGTCTAGACAACTCAAAGTAAATGTTACGTATACGCATGGGCATTCCCCGAAATTTGCTTTTGCCGTAAATTAAAAGTTTGCTCTACTTTAGTTTGGACCGTTGCAAATTACAAGTTTTCGTTGAAAGAGTTGCTTTAAATTATGCACGTAAATAATGGCTGTGTAGTGGCAATTAAGGGGCCGGCGATTTTCTCTTGAAATTCGTTGGCTAAATGTTTGCCATTTATGTTTCAAATTGACAAACTTGTTCAAACACAAATTAAAATGCAAACATGTATAGGTATAGTGTGTGTTTGTTTTTGATTGGCATTTGCCGAGGTAGTGTTTTATAAAGGTCTATATTTAAAAAAAAAAGTTTAATATTTTTGTAGCAATTATTACACAGCATTCTAGAGATGCAAGAGAAGCCACACAGTGATCACAGGCCATCGGATATTAAGAATGTAGTTTTATCTCTATCGTTTCGGATATAGTCTTCTTTTCATATCCGAAGAAATTTGGCTAGATAGTGAGTACGAATAAAGTACTCATCAATGAAGCTCAAGTCTTTTACGAAGAATTTAAAAATAGAATATAATACTAAAAAAATATAGAAAAATCACAAATATAGGCTAAATATTTTTAATTGCCTCTTTTTATTTATCGAGCTGTCCACGTACAAGTGCATTATAAAGAAAAGAAGTGATAATACACATATTTCCTCTATATCTGTAATTTTCCAATTGAACTAATTGATAAATTTTCAAAGAAGCAATGATAGCGCCCGCCTACACATCTTACTCTCTGTATGTATGTATGTTGGTTTTCTACAGTATTATTTGTTCCACAAAACTTTAAAAGCAATATATTTCTATATTAATTCACAACAATTTGCGGTAATTAAAAGAACTGTGAATTATTTGTTTGATTAAAAATTTATATCAGACACATGTAATTTCTTCATATATGCAAATTGAAGAATACACATTTTCTATGTACAATTTGTTATGTGGTAGTTCTCGCACTTTGTAGATATTAATTAAACAACTCTTCTTTATTAGGAATTTCTTTAACTTTTACTACTTAATTAATTCAAATTTTTTTACGAAATATATTGTACTTACTTATATAAATTTCCTTATAATTATACAAATACTAAAAAAGAAAAAACGTTACCGTCGGTTGCACCGAAGCTATAATAGCCTCACAAATATAAAAAAATTCCTCCGAGAACTTGTTTCAGTTCAGTTTGCATGGCAGCTATATGCCATAGTGATTCGATCTGAACAATTTTTTTGCATTTAGAATTATTACTTTAGATAAAAATCCATGCCAAATTTTGTGAAGATATCTCGTCATATTAAAACTTTGTTTGTATAGCAGCTATATGCTAAGGTGGTATGAACAGTTCCTTGGGAAGAAAGTGACGTGTGCAAAGTTTCAGATTGATATCTCAAAAACTGAGATACTAGTTCGCATATATACAGACAGACGGACGGACGGGCAGACAGACAGGCATGTTTAAATCGACTCCGCTCGTCCTGCCGATAATTTATATATATATTTATAAGTTCTCCGACGTTTCCTTCTGGGTCTTAAAAACTTCGAGGCAAACTTAATATACACTGCTCCATCGAAATTTACAGAATAAAGCGGAAGAGTTCCATTTAACAAAGAATCAAGTTTTGGTCGGCTTAAAAAGAGAAAACGAAATATAAGCAATTATGCAAAATTTATGCAAAAACAAAAGATTTAGTTTGACAAAATTTCACAGCAGGACTGGCAGGTGAAATTTTTCCGTTCTTCTTCTTCTAGAGAATTATCTGTATAAGTAACACCATCACGACAAAACGCTAACAAGGAAATTTCCGTATATACTGTGGAGTTTATATTTTATAGCCAAGCGCAAATTATGGTATAACCCCTATTACTAAAGGTATGAAGCAGTAGATGAAGCGATCACTCATATTTACATTTTAGGTTTAAAAGAAAACTCTTATTATATTTCTTTTTACACTTATCATGAAAAAAGTAATTGCAATCGCACATATCCATATATGTAAATCAAAATACAATATAATTATAAAATATATTATAATAACTGTGCGAATTCAAATACTTACTCTGTATAGTTGAAGACACCTGTTGGCGCTATAAATATTCCGGAACCGATAATAGTGCCCACAATGATAGCCACGCCGTTCATTAGCGTCAGTTTGCGTTTCAATACGATTTTATCACCGTCGTCAGATTCAGGCATTGGCGCATTGCCATTTCCATGGCCGTTGAACGAAGCGGCGGCGCCGGTGGCGGCTGCGGCACCATTGCTTGCAACAGGTTGCGAATTATTTACTAAACTTGTGCTAACACCATTAGCATAACGTTCTGTCATTGTAAGACGATTTTTTTAATTTAATGGAATTCGGCGTTTTCTTGTATAAATGCTAGTTCTGAGCTTACGCTTATTTTGCACTTTTTCACGAACTTTTGGAATATTTACGTATCACTTGGCAAAACAAGCTGATTTATGCTGATAACACTTTCAAATTTTTTAGTGACTTGTCGAGTTTTTTTTGTGGTGATTACTATTTTTTAAGAATTTATTTAATTTTTTAAAACAAATTTTCGTAATAAAACCACGTTTTAGCAATTAGTTATTTCTATGTAAGCATCAAACTTTCGAACTTTGTTAGTTGTGTAGCTTTACAACCATTTAGCTGGAGCTCCCATCAAGAACTGAACTAATGGACAACTACTGCTTTCGGTTTTACGCTGTGTGAAAAGAAAATTCAATTCAACTGTCAAATATTGGGTGGAAAATGAGACACAACACATTCGCACACATGCATATGCACTTGTAACACAAACCCCGCAGGAAAAAATTCACTTAAACTTTATTTCATTTTTTCAAAAATTTAAAATCAAGTAAAGTGAGTTTTTATATATATGAGTAAATTTAAATATAATAATTTAAAAAAAACAAAATAAAATATTTATTGTTTTGAATTGTTATGGCTTGAAAAATATCTGCATAACAGTTATTGTTGCTTTAATATGTTGAGATCGGTCTCATTGCGGTTCCACGGCTGTAGCATTTCCCACATTCATTTTACATATGTACATGTGTAAGTATGTATGTATGCACATAACGCATGTCGTATAAAAGCACACAAAATGTTTAGCATTAATTTTTGCGAGCGATTTTTGCGTTGCCCTACAAATTTTCTCACTTTAGCAGTGCGCATGCATGATAAAAATAAAAAATATCACAACATCAGGGTGGTTACGATAACACCGAATAGCAGTTTTAGTTTATTATTATAAGTGAAGTTAAGATAATCTTTTTTTTCAAACATCCTTTCTATCAACCCATTAGTTTTTTAATTTTCAAAGCAATTTTAGCCACAAAATAAAGAGTACTCAGCAATTTACCTACCGACGAATACTTGACGCACTTAACCATTACAAACGAGAAAAAATTCACTCTATTTCAACATTTCAAATATTAACATACACTACTTATCAGCAAACAGCCAAAACCTTATCGTGTAGTATTTTTCTTAATAACATCGCAATTTTTAATTCGAATACATATCTGATCTTAACTTTTAATCCTTGGACTTATTATATTACATGTTATCACTCAGCCCTAATTGAATGTAAATCTGCTTGAGTACATATCTATATATAATACATACATGTATAAATGCATATGCTGTTCTAATGTGATTAACATTGCAAAAAGAGCGACAATCAGCCCTGTCAAAGCAATAGCCAACTAATAGTTCGATGCGAGTTCAGTGTTAATGTCTGCTGTCACACCGCCGATACAAACAATTTATCTTCCTCACCGGAAAGCATTATTGTATCCTTGATACACCTGTTGAGTAGCATAGAATCGTACGCAACTTTGTGATATACATATGTACATATGTATGGTACAATACATAAAAAATGGGTTCGTTGCTTTTACAGTTTACTACAAAGCAATAAAAATCTGTTTAAACTATATATGAATATATATTTGTATATTGATATCGGTTTTCTACAACTAGCGTACTAAAAAGTGGATATTTAACTCTACCTACGATGAATATGACAAAAAAAACATGAATTTTGAAGTTTTTTAATATTTGAAAAATTTTCGCAATTATTGCTGTTATGAAATATCAAAGAAACCCCGTCAGCGTCAAATAAAAATTTTGTTTTATTATCATTAAAAAAAAAAATATTAACATTTAAAATATTTTTAAAGAAAAAAATATTTTCTTGCCACCTGGTCACCTTTAAAATTGCATGTGCTTTAAAATAACATAACAATGACTGTAGATATGTATGGTTGTATTGACCATATGTACATGGCAGTGGCTATGATTCTACCTGGTGTTGCGTTTCCATGCAATAAAAAATAAAATTTCATCAGCCAATACTAAATAACTCTTATGTTTACATTTCAACTCGATAAAAGTTTCTATATTTCACGTTGTTTGCATTAGGCAACCAAATGCATTTCACGAAAATGGTGTATCAGTTGCATTGCTGGCGCATGGTGCCCGGTTGGCGGTGTGATAAATAAGCACTCTACAAGCCAGCTTGAATAATAGCACGTTTTGCATTTTGCATACGCGAAAAAAGCATTTTTCTAAAATTTGCAATTGAATTTCTTAACTTTTTTTTATAATTTTAGTGTTGTTTACAAGTGGTTTCGTATTCACATATGTATGTACATATGTAAAGTGATAAGAGCTACATACATAAGTTGTATGTTCTTTTATTACATTTCGCTTTTAATTTTTGTGCTTTTTATAAATTTTCCACAGAATATTAAGTGATTTTTTTAAAATTAAGTAAACACATTTTACAATCGCTGAGATTTTTGAGATAATTGCCGCTTCCAAAACCAACACAATCAGTAAACGCTCTTCAACTGAACAGACTGGTTGCTATCGACTCTGCCATGTGTTCCGACACCGAATACTTGTGGTGTGCGTGCTGTATTCTCTTTTGGCGCTTTCACGCAATGTCATCATATCGTTTCCATTCAACCCTAACAAAAGTCGAAACTGAGCGTATACACTTTTTTAATCATTTCACCCTGAGTATACATCTCTCTTGTATACTTATCGTTATTTGTGCGAAAAGAGCGTAAAGTGCATAAGGGCATGAGAAATGTACATATGTTGTATATATTTCTAAAAGATAGTATTATTTGCGAGATGTATGTGTGTATGTATGTATATTCGTACATATAACTGGTTAGTGTTGATTCGTATTTCAAGTTCATTGCCTGGCGAATTTCGCGTGTACCCTAATCTCTGCCAGCATTTGATTGAGTGCTTCCATATGAGATACTTAAACAAATTAATATGACAATACTTAATTTATAACTATTATTAATAAGACTGAAGTGTTTGAGATTCAATAATAATAGGCTTAATTTAATATACTGCGCTTCTGTGTGGAAAACTCCAATAGAGAGGATACTTGCGAAATTCTGAATATTTATAGTCTTACATAACAGAATCAAAGCTCGGAAGTCAATGTTATTTTAAAAACAAGAAAAAACGTTAACTTCGATTGCACCGAACGTAAAAAGTTTTCATAAAAGAACTTGATTTTTTTCGAACAGTTTTGTATGGCGATATGCTTCAGTTGTCCGAGCTGAACAAATTGTTCGAAAATTACACCGTTGCCTTGGACAATAATCCATGCATATTGTATGTTGTCAAATAAAAAAAAATTTCATACAAAAACTTAATTTTGATCGTTCAGTTTGTAAGACAGATACTGTATATGCTAAAGTGGTCCGATATCGACGGCTCCAACAACTGAGCAGCTTCTTGGGGAGAAAAGAATGTGTGAAAATATCTATATCTCGAAAACTGATTGATTGAGCTTAATCGACTAGTACCTTTATATATGTATGTATGTATATATTTTATAGGGTCTCAAATTTTTATGAGAAGTTTTTTTACCTTTTACAAACTCAAAATCATTCTTGATCATATCGTTTTTACATAATAATATATCTAATTTTTCTATTTAATAAAACGGCTGTCATCTGGACTTCTGAAATAATTTTTTTTCTGAGCACTAAACCGTTAAAATATTTTCTGGTCACCTGAAATTGGCGCACACTCATTGCAAGTTCTTCCGTACTCATTGTGGATACGAACTCGTGTTCACGTTCTTACTATGCACATGTAAATATGTATGTGTGTATGTATTTGCAATTGGGTCACTTGTGCCGGTAATTTTTGCTATTTTTAATTTACCCAATAATAATTATATTTGAAGGTTAGGTTTCTGCAATTCCAAACAAATTCTCTTTGCTACATTTCAAATTAATTTCAATTACTGCTACTGCTGAGCGGTCCCTCCATAACGATCAAAAAATCAAAACAAAACTACCGCTACATGCCACTATAATCATGCACTGAACATGGCGGCAATGGCTAAACGTCAAACAGCATGGGAGTGTTCACTATGGTACAGCGGAATATCACTAATTTGCCGGCTACCAGCTAGTGTGCGCTGAGCGCCGGATGAAACTAAAGCTAAAATATCAGTTGAAAGTAAAAAGTTGCGGATAACATGGAACAGTCACAGTGAAACGCAACACTGAATGCCATCTCACGCGGTATGTTCACAGTTTAGTCGCCACTGCCGGTGTAGAGAACTAATCCGATTGTTCACAAGCACGATTTCCTGCTACCATATACAATACATAAGTATTTAGTGCAAAAGGGTCACTCACAGTCATATGGAAAATTTTATGAAAGAGCATTTACATGAAAAGAAACTGTGGATTTCAATGGTCTGCATTTCGAAAGAAAATTGCACGCATGGTGGAATACAACAGTGTGTCACCGGTGCACAATAGAAATTTTTGGTGCGACTGTAGTGGCTGAAATAGGTTTTGTTTCAAAATGGTTTACGTATTTAGCGCAAGCGGTGTTGTGTATTCAAAATTTATTATCTTCATTTATTTGTAAACTGTCAGCCGCTTGCCGGAAATCGACTGTCCCTAACAGCCAGCATTGTTGCTTAACGGCGCGTCGTTTCTCGTTAACTCGCACGTTTGGTGCCCTGTGTGGCGAAGCAACCTTGCGACTTTCAAAGAATATCAAAACATTTTGAATTCTGATTCCCAAATAGCAGGCGCACAGCATAGCCATGCAAGCGAAAACAATGCACCACTATTGCGAATAGTACACTAACTAAACACACACGTCGCCGCCACCCAAGCTGTCATCTCATTCTCGCACACACAATTGTGTGGAATATGTCAAAAACAAATCGGCCATTGTTTACCATATGTGCGTACGCAATAGCGACGACACTGCGGCACAACAACAACACAAACATCTCCAATGACTAAGCACATTTAACGCGCGTTGCTGCTGAAGAAACTCGCCTAGCGCCCGGACGGTGGTTTGCTTGTGTAGCGCGGCTGTTTGCCTGTGAAAAAATTTCGCTGACGTGCCTAAATGTATGGAATTGCGATTTCAAGCATCTCGGTAATGTGCGGAATTCGTATTGGAAATTTGGTTGCTACTTCGTTGGCGACGTTCACGCGCATGCATTTGGATGGCAAGCACCAGATCTACCCGCTACGAAAACAACGAACGCCGATTATACATGCAAGCGACAAGGCAGGCCGCCGCTGGCCAGTTATATTCGTTTGTGCGTTTATGCTGCCGTAGGCTATCGATTCGTTTGGCAATCAGCTCGATATCTGTTTTTGGCGCTGAATCTCATTCGATGAGCGGCCGCCCGACAGTTGGCATTCGTTGCTTGCTAGTCTCGCTGGAAACCTGGTATAAATAGAGCTCGATGACTGTTGTATTATCGAGAAATGCACGGCAATCGGGCATCGCGCATGTAGGCAAGTGAGCGAGCGAGCAAGTTCAATATTCGCACAACCCCATCGATTTGAAAATAAAAAACGATTGCAATGAATGCTTCAAAGAAGGGCGGGACGTAGGGGATTGTGCGACTTGTAGTTGTAGTTTAATTATTGCAAATAATCGGGGAAAAGTAAATTTTGAATTTTTCTCACACAAACTAAAAGAAACAGTGGAAAATTCCAAGAAAACGTAGATTTAAATTTTGTTTGATAAACATTTACATACTTAGGATTAATATATGAATAGATAACATGAAGTTCGCTATCAAAGCAACTAGAAAAATATAAAAACGTATAAATGTCTAAAAACGAAAAATTTTATAGTTTTAACTGCAATATTGTTAATCTGCACATTTATTTAAGTTTTATTCACATTCTCTCATATTTATTTGCAGTTAATACCGCAAGCTTGTTCACGTACATAGTTAGGAATGCCACTTATTCTATCGCTAGTGTTGTGTGCGACACCTGTTGGTAAAATAAGCAGTGGGTATCGCAGCCAAGTTTGCGCAATCAATGTCAATTTCCTCATTTCTTTCTTTCATTCTTTTCCATTAAACCTTTGAAAGGTTAAGTTGTATTTTCATTGCGCTCCGCAGGGAAATTTTATAAGTCCTTTAAAAATGAGTGAAACTCTGCAATTGCGCGGTACCCTTGTTGGTCACACTGGCTGGGTAACACAAATCGCCACCAACCCAAAGGATCCCGACACCATCATCTCGGCTTCTCGTGGTAAGTGGTCGTATTGCCATCTAGTGAATTATTTTGAGGTTATGGTTTGCTAATTGAAATGCTGCAACTCTTAATCTAATTTCTTTTCTGTAATCACACAGTTAATCATTTTAATTGTTTAATGCTTATAAACACTTAATTGCCTACTTTCAGATAAGACCCTTATCGTCTGGAAATTGACCCGCGATGAAGACACCAACTACGGTTTCCCTCAAAAGCGTTTGTACGGACACTCCCACTTCATTAGCGATGTTGTGCTCTCATCCGATGGTAACTACGCTCTGTCTGGCTCATGGGATAAGACTTTGCGCTTGTGGGATTTGGCTGCTGGCAAAACCACCCGTCGTTTTGAAGATCACACCAAGGTGGGGCGAAATGTCACAATTTTAAGTCAAACATTTGTGTAGCATAGCAGTTGAAAGGGTCTAACTTTTTATGGAAAAATGTCTGAAATTGAAAATGCACTAAGTGCAGGCAAAATTTTTAGGAGTACAGGTGGTGCTTATTTAGGGCCTTATGCAACTAATTTGACAAAGTTTGAGGTTAGATCAGATAGTCTAGCAAAGTAATTTGATAGGTCAAGCACCACCTAAATATATATAAAAATATGTGCCTATGCGAGGCAGAATTCTGGTTGAGTGTCGTGGAGCACCTTCTCGGAACATCTTCACCGCAACGGCAGGGCGGTAAATTGTAAGTCTCGTGTGGTAATATTTTTTTTTGTAATGGTTTTTGGTTCTTAGTTTATTGTATACTTATATAATTGTGTTTATAAGAAATACTTATATTCTATTTTAATTCATAGGATGTGCTCTCGGTAGCTTTCTCCGCTGACAATCGTCAAATTGTCTCCGGTTCTCGGGACAAGACTATCAAGTTGTGGAACACTTTGGCCGAGTGCAAGTTCACCATCCAGGAAGACGGTCACAGCGATTGGGTATCTTGCGTACGCTTCTCACCAAACCATTCCAACCCAATTATCGTTTCTTGCGGTTGGGATCGCACCGTCAAGGTCTGGAACTTGGCTAACTGCAAGTTGAAGAACAACCACCACGGCCACAATGGCTACTTGAACACCGTGACTGTCTCACCCGACGGTTCGCTCTGCACATCCGGTGGCAAGGACTCCAAGGCCTTGTTGTGGGATCTTAATGACGGCAAGAACTTGTACACTTTGGAACACAATGACATCATCAATGCTTTGTGCTTCTCACCCAACCGTTACTGGTTGTGCGTCGCTTATGGTCCATCCATCAAGATCTGGGATTTGGCATGCAAGAAGACCGTCGAGGAGCTCCGCCCCGAGGTTGTGTCGGGCAACTCCAAGGCTGATCCACCACAGTGTTTGTCGTTGGCTTGGTCCACTGACGGCCAGACTTTGTTCGCTGGCTACTCTGACAAGACCATTCGCGTATGGCAAGTCTCTGTCTCTGCTCACTAAGCTTATGCTTTTGTAGCAGATATGGACGCTTAATTGCAGTGACATTATTATTTTTAACTACAAATTTCGTACGTACTAAGTAGTGTTGCCCATACTGTTTGGGCATTCAAATTAGAAATGTATGCGAAAAGAAAAATGTTTACTGTATTTAAAATGTTAAATCATTGAGCGCTGATTTGTTTATTATATAAGCAAATAAATAACAAGGAAATGTCAAAAAATCTAAAAAAAAAATTAAAATTGTATATTTTGTATTAATTTAGTGATATTTTAGTTTAAGACGTAATTACATAGTAAATATAGGGATATTTATATACTAATAGGTGTTTTACTTCACTCGTTGTTTGTTTTGTATCTGAGTTTGTTGGGCTTATTGCAAAATTTTCCTTTGTCCTTTTTCTTGTGTGCACTTGCTGTCGCATTTTCCGCGCCTGTTAAAATTTTTTAGTTGATTCTGCTTCGATTGCAGCTGAGTTGCCGAAATGTTGCATACTTTCAGGCGCATCATGCACATTTATTCTTTGCGCGGGACACTTTCTGTTGCACTTTGCGCGCCTGGTAGAAATTAGGCTGTTCACATTTCTGTTTCAACTGTGATTGTGTTGTGTGCAATTTTTATTGGTGCGTTATCGATTTCGATGATTTTGCGATCGCGGCGATAATTTGCTTTGAAAATAGAATACTTTTGTTAGCAATGATGGAATTTAAAAATTTTCCACTTTGTGAGAATAAAATTGGCCTAATAAACAACTAAATTTAATGTTTTATTTTCAATTTTATTATATTTCCGTTAAACATTCGTGTATTTATTAAATTTAAAAATTCCTAAATATAGTTCGTAATTTATATAATTAAATTATCAGGGGGTTCTTATGCACATACTCATAATTTGCAAGGCAATTTCTTGAAAACCGAATAAATACGAAGGTAAGCAGTGTTGAAACAAGTTTCGAGTAGCTTCTCGCTTGTTCGCTTTGGTGTAGATAAATTAATATAATATTGTTTCAGGTGTAATATTACTTGACTTTCTTGAAGTGTTGCATAAAAAAGTGCTATTATATTCAATACATACATACATAGATAAATATAACGTAATGTATTATTAGCGAGTTTGCTTTTTATATGCATATATGCATATCTCACATTCTAATATGTTTTGGTTTAGAAAGAAATGCTTAATAACTAGTAACAGGGCACATAAATAATTTTAAAAATACATATTTCTTCCCACCCTCATTTTTTTTCCTAATTTCACTAACGCTGGTCAATTGGCGTGCTTTAACTTCTTCCTTATGTTGACACAATATCCATATATACATACATACATATAGAGACATGTACATATGTATAATTTGTACAATAAGAAAGATTTACTTTGCGGTGACGCCACTATTCGAACGAATTAAATTTGTTACGGGAAATTTCGCTGCATTATTGTTTACGGGAAATTTAGTTGACGACGCCGAAGCAGACAGTGAGGCTGACGCAGCTGCATTGCGGGTCTTCGTTGCAGTTGCACTCGTTGTTGTGGCCGAACTGATACGATAATCGCCATTACGAAAAACTACCAACAGCACGGTGATATTGTCCACTGAACCACGTTGATATGATTCCATTGTTAACGCTTTGGCGCCAAAGTCCGCTTCGTGTAGATGCTTTTTGACAAAAGTGCAGGCCTCCTCATTGTTGAAGGTGTCCCACAGACCATCTGTGGCGAGTATCAGAAATAAGGGCCTGGAAAAGAATATGTAACAAGACAATAATTTCCATATCAAAATAGTTAAATAGACTACCGCTCACTCACTTGTGGTCATTCAAGTCGAAGGTCAATATATCCGGATTGGCTATGACTAGATTTTTGTCCTTCAACGGATAATCGCCGAGCGCACGGGACGTCGCTAATATGCCGGCCACACGCCAAACGCCACGAAATGCGATGAAGCCGCCAGCATCGTGTATACGCTTGCGCTCACGCACCTGTGGAAAAATGACGCATATGACATATTCTTAATTACATAGAGTATGTAGAGTATTTACCTGCTGCGGTTTGTGATCGAATGACAGCGGTATCGCTATTCCACGTGAGTCACACATAACACCACGCGAATCGCCAACGTTCGCAACGGTCAGTTTGCTGCCCTCGATGACGGCGATCAGTGCTGTGGTGCCGGCAATATTGGTCTAAAATGAAATTAAAATTTTTTTAGAATTATAAAAATGGAAATTCATTTATTTTTCAATATTATAGCATGTACGAAGGCTGTTAAGACAAGATAGAATTTGTCTGCTCAATGGTACTCTATTCTTTTTATTTCTTCTCTATAATGGTACCCAAAAGAAATCTTTGTTAGTTACGAACTCTTTAATCGAATTAAATCTCTTACCATTGAGCAACTTCTTCAGATTTTGAATGGAAAGAAAAAGTCTCACGATCGCGAACGACAACAGCGTGATAAAGAAAACTAAACAAAACAAGTAAGGAAGGGCTAAGTTCGGATGTAACCGAACATTTTATACTCTCGCAAAGTCAAATGGTATACTCGTTTGAGATTTCTTTGTGGATTGACTGATATTTTCGGTAGAAGGTCAACTACAGGCACTGGGGCCCACATATTTAGTACTTAGAGGCTTGAACAGTTTTGGTTCGATTTAGACAATTTTTGGCCGCAAGGTGGCATACTTTAATTGCATTATTCACGCAAAGTTTTACCCCGATATAATCATTGTTACCTGATTTGCATAGTGGAAAGTGAAAGAATCAGATGGAATTGAAAATGGTGTTACATGGGAAGTAAGCGTGGTTGTAGTCCGATTTCGCCCATTTTCGCACTATGACATAGAAACACGAGAAGAACGTTATGCACCGAATTTGGTTGAAATCGGTTAAGCAGATCTCAAGATATGGGTTTTCACCTAAAAGTGGGATGTGCCACGCCCACTGACTAATTTTGAACGCGGTTCCTATAAAGCCAATTTATACCATCTCAGAGATAGAATTTAATGTCTCTGGCGTGTTTAGTGCTTGATTTATCGCGCTTTTAGTAGTTTTTAACAGTACCGTTATATGGGGAGTGGGCGAAGTTGCCACCCGATTTCAGCTATTTTCACACAGAAGTGCTAAAAACATTTGCTTCTAGTGAATTTTGTTATTATAGCATTAGCGGTTTAGGAGATATGCACATTAAACCTATTAGAGGCGGGACCACGCCCACTTTTTAAAAAAAGTTTTAACTGCAGATTGCCCTCCCTAATGTGATCCTGTGTACCAAATAACAGTCTTGTATCTTTTTGCGGAGCTAAGTTATGGCAAGTTATTTGTTTTTGAATAATGGCGTTTTGTGGGCGTGGCAGTGCTCCGATTACGCCCATCTGCAATACCAACCGTCTCACGGCACCATGAAACATGTCTACCAAGTTTCATAAAGATATCTCAATTTTTACTCAAGTTAGAGCTTGCACGGACGGACGGACGGACGGACGGACGGACAGACAGTCACCCGGATTTCAACTCGTCTCTTCATCCTGATCATTTATATATATATAACCCTATATCTACCTCGATTAGTTTTAGGTGATACAAACAACCGTTAGGTGAACAAAACTATTATACTCTGTAGCAACAGGTTGCGAGAGTATAACTAGGACCGGAAAACGGGAACAACCATTGTCGTATCAAAATTGGTACACACCTGCTTCTTTGCTGCTTCAACCAGTTTATAGTCGGCGGCCAAGACTTCGTCTGTGATTAATTTGCCATAATTAATTTTTCCATTTTCAATGTAACATTTGGCGTCGAAATTCTGTGGTGGTCCATTTGATTTGCCGCTCTCACTGCCAGCATCCTTACCGCCACCGAATAGAGCCTCCTTGGCCGCATTGCTGCCGCGCATTAGAGAATTCAGTTTGGAAGTGAAGACATCGGTGTCCTTTTGTTGTTTGCCACCAGAGGGTGTCTTGCAATCATCTGCGGTACTGTTAGAAATTATGTAAGAGAAAATATTAAAAAAATATTTAAAAAAAAATATATAAAATATATTATTCGTAATTGATCGGGTTCTGTTAAAAAGGAGTGTGTAGATGAGATAATTATACCCTGAGCAGGGTATATTAAGTTTGCTACGAAGTTTGTAACACTCAGAATGAAACGTCGGAGATTCTATAAAATATATATAGGTATATACATAAATGATCAGCATGATGAGCTGAGTTGATTAAGCCATGTCCGTCTGTCTGTCTGTATATATATATATGCAAACTAGTCCCACAGTTTATGAGATATCGATCTTAAATGTTGCACCTGTCCTTTAATCACTAAGAAGCTGATCATTTGTCGGAACGGCCGATATCGGACCACTATATCATATAGCTGTCATACAAATTGAACGATCGGAATCAAGTTCTTGTATGGAGCTTTTGTATTTGTGAAGGCTATTATAGCTTCGGTGCAACCCAAGTTAACGTTTTTTTTTTATTTTCAGTATCACTATATAGAATGATGATTAAACGGAAACACAAGTAAAGGTCTATGATTTCCAATAGATGGCTTTAGAAAGCTGAATCTTCCGTTGTATAAGTGCGATCGGAGCGTTAGAAAGTTAAGACTTCGCAGTAAAAAAATCTTCTCAGACAGTTTGTTGATTTTTTGACTCGGTACACATATATGACCTGTGCTGTCTACAATTGGACTGTCTGATGGCAGCAATCGCCTAAAAGCGGCTAACTTTGGGCAATAGGAGAGGTATTTTGTTTAATCAGGACAACGCCAGGCCATCTACATCGATCAATAGTTAATCGTCTGAAGCTTCGAGAACTTGGTTGGAATGTTCTTATGCAACCGCCTTATGATCCAAACCTGAGAGCAAGTGATTTGGCACAGGTGATTTTGCTGATGAAAAATTTGCCTCAAAAGAAGCTTGTGAAAATCATTGTCCCAGTTTTTTGTCAATCGGGCAACAGGATTTCTATGAGAATGGCATTATGAAATTACCTCCAACACAACAACAAGTTGTTAAACAAAACGGTGCATATTTGGTCTGAACCGGATCATTCTAACTAATAAAATAATTGATTACTTTTTGCTGGATTATAAATGTAAGACTTATAGTTGAGTTGAGGAGCGTTTTTACCTCAACTAAATTTTAGTACTTAAATATATTCAAAGTTATCACACCTCGTTAGTTAAAGACATGGTTTGAGATGCATTGTTGCATATGTGAACTATTTACTTAACTATCTAATAAAAATTTTATTTTCAGGCTACTATATTTAAAATGTGTGAATAAGTCACGAATTAGTTTGCGCTGAATTCTCATAAACTACTTTGTAAGTAGTTACGTCAAGTCAATGGTATGTGCTGATAAACCAGCTGAAATCGTCCAGTTGGAAACCATTTTCATTGCTGAGATAAGGTTAAGAAAATAGCAAAATTGTGTGTGGCCTTCATAAGCCGCCATCTTGTTTTTAAATTTTAAGTTCATAATAAGACTCGTCGAGATCGAAATGTATGATTTATTCTCAGTTATCTTTACTAAAAGTACAGCCTGAATCAGATTGCAAATAATGTATTGTAAAAAAAAAATTATTGAATTAACATATTTAATCCCAAATATGGGATTAAAAAAATATTTTTTTTTATCTTGCATACCGGATTAAAAAATTATTTTTAATTAATTTTTAATTTTTAATCCGGTTTTTGAGCTTACATTTTTTTTAATTCCGTTTGCAGGATTAACCATTTTTTATTTATTTTTTAATTGGGATTTCAAACTAAAAAAAATTGTATTCAAATTTTAATTCAATTATTATTTTTTAATGCATTATTTGCAACCCTTATTCAAGCTGAACTTTTCTCTTCCAAAAATCGGATTAAAAATATTTTTTTATTTCTTAATAATGCAATTTTAATCTTAAGCATATAATTAAGAATTAGAAAAATTATTTACTGTTAAATTAAAATTTTTTGGCGTTCATTTAAATCAAAAAGTAAGATTTTCAATTTTAAGTCTTTAATCCTAAAAATTTAATTTTTAATCACAAAATTTTTTGAATTAAAAAATACGCAAGCTTGTCCTGAATGTTGGGCAAAACACCACTTTGAGTAATGGTCACTCCAGATATACTATTTAAAATTCCAGAACGAATTATGAAATTGTAAATGCATATTTATAGGCGTTGTAGCGTGTTTGAATCTAAGCAAAGACTCTCCACAGTAGGTTGAAACACGACGTTTAAGGGGTTAAATGGGTTACACGGCTTCAAAAAAAAATCTTATTGATTTCTATAGCATCTCTAGTATATTGTCCTAAATTCTCAAGTTGATATCACTAAAAGTTTTGAAGATACAGCTTTGAAGAGTTACGCGCTCGAGGTCAGCTATATAGTCACTTAAAACTTGAAACGCGTTTTTCTCGCAACTGTGAAGTCAAAGTCGGTTGTCAAGATTTCTCGCGAACGACTCTACCGATCTTAATGAAATTTTACACAGATCTTTGAGATATAATTAACAAGGTCTTGCCGTGGAGGATTTATTTTTTTTGTTCAATTACAACTATATAAAAAACAAAGAATGTCGAGAAATGTTCACCAAAATTTGCATGTTTTTGTAAAAACGTCTGCCAAAAATACAATTTTCACTTTATTAATTTTTTTTATCGTACAAAACCTAGTTAATGGTCTTAGTTCAAACATTTATTTTTTCTTTTTACATTTGATGATCCTGTTAGATGTTCTGCTGTTAACGCGGAAGTACCTTTTATACGAGGGACTGTCGGAAATAACGTCGCAATGACCGAGTTTTGAATATTTTTCTTTGAAAATTTCACAAAATCTTTATTAAATATGTATCTTCGGAATAATAAAAAGTTTGAATGAAATATTTAATTTTTTATATGAAAAAAATTATTGAAAATAGGGCGTTTTTTGCTCGACGAAACCCATTAAACACCTTAAGGCTCTAACAATGGCAAAGCGAACTATAAACGTTTTAAATCCTATGAAAATCATGTAAATTTCATAAGATGTAAGCTTAAAAATTTCTTCTAAGCATTTACAATGCAAATTTGGCATTATATTCTACGACTACGATTTAGATGAGACTGGATTTGCAAAATAGTACAAATTTACGACGCTCTGTTTTGCAAAAATCGAAGTAAGACTCAACAACGAAAAGGAAAGTGTATAGCAGATTGCGGCGTATATATATAATATAGGTATATAGCTATCTTCCTAAATATCCACTTGTGATATATACTTGTATGTTATATACAAAACAATAACATAGACAATGCCGTGCGTTCACTCACTTTTCTAGCGGATATCTGAATAGATACTATATCTTATGCATTATATTATATATATATATATATATATATGTACGATATGCTTCCACGAGTTTATCGGTTCGCAGGAGGGTTGAATCGGCTAGCGAATCGTCTTGACGCCATGTGTCCCGATTTTTGCATTTAAAAACATTTAGCGCGTTAATTTCGATCAGCGGCGAGGGCGTGACGCTTTCAATTGCCTTCTGCAATCTTATGCTGTACATTTCTCATCACGAGCGCGTCAATTGTTATTCGCAAAAGTTTTATTTTATTTCATTTTTTCATTCTTTTTTTTTTTTAACTCATACATATTTAATTTGAATTTATCTTGGCCTTTTTGCGCAGCTTGAGTTTGTTTGTTTTCTTATGCCAACGAAATTGTATTGCCCTGATTTATTATTATGCCTTTGACCATACAATTTGATGTGTTTACTTTACAGTTTTCCTTTGCGAGTGTAAAAACATGTGTTAATTAAATCTGCGTACATTGTCAAATTGGAAAGTAAAGGAAAAATATTTTCTTTTAATACTAAACGAACAATTCATTTTCCGCTGAAATTCTGATTGCAAACCGCCAATTTGTTACAAAAACGAACACAAAATGGTAGCCGCTCTCCGAAAATATACATATATTCAAAAATATCTCAAATAACTAAAATAAAATTATAACTGAATCTTCACTCCCATAGCTTTAGAGAACTCTGCTGGGACCATGCTTACTATTACAGGTAAATGTGTCTCATACTGTACCAATATAAATATGAAATCCGAACAACCATATAAACTGCACCAAAATGAAAGAGCGAAAAAGTAAAAAAAAACCGTTTAAAAATAAAGCGGCCATGCCTTTTACGATCTCTTTTGCGACAACTGTACAGAGACATATCAAAATCCTCAAAATATTGCCCGAGAACTATCATTACAATCAAACACATCGCTGGCAACCGATTACCAATGCATGTCCGGTACAGTTTTTGAGGGACTACTACCTACTGGGACCCAACCTTTCTGATATAAATGAAGAAGCTGCAGTCATGCTTTTATACTGCCAGATGGCTATTGGAGTACTTATCCTACGATGCTTGTTTTTATTATGCAGAAAATAACCGTGCAGACTATCCGCCTAGAACAATAATTTTCGATCTAACATGTTACAGCACAGCTAGGATACTAAGAGTGATTACATAGCCACACTGAATTGATCAGTTCACTAGCAAAAACTCTTTCGAAAGAAGGCCACTGTAACAACTACATCAGCAGCTAAAAACTTATTGAGCTATTCATTCATAAATCACAAAATAAAGGTTAGCTCTCAAAACAGGTTGAAATTTCGGGGTCACAGAATTAGAATATAGTTTCGACAATATAACGAAGAGAAAGCGGAATGCAGAAACATAATTCAGAAAGCATTCCATGACGTCGGGTCTATGTAACCGAAATGGACTCCGATTTATATTTGACCACAAACTCGACTACATTATTCAAATTAATTGAGGAATGTTTTCTAACGCCATCAAAAAACAATAGAACAAAATTTAGTTTTTTTCTAACGAACCACCTAAATTTATGTGTGTAGGTATAAACATGAAAGTATATGTATTTCAAGGGCAGACAGTCAGCGGCTAATTGCATATTACTAATGCATCGAGTGAGTAACCTGTGACCTCTCATATTCGCCTTAAGTATCACATACATATACCATATTATATGTAAACATATAATAGAGCTCTTGGTATTCGACTAAACGACTAACCGGATTTACCGGTAAGGGCATGATTCGAATAATAATATTCGCTTTGCTCTATCTGGATAGTCGTAAGTTGTCGAATATTCGGTTAACTGTTCGTTGACAACTTTTCGAATAGTAAGCGTTCATTCAAAAAAAAAATTAAACAAAAATAAACAAAAAATAAATAAAATAAAAACAAAAAAAAATAATAACAAAAAAAATAATAAAAAAAAATAATAACAAAAAAAATAATAACAAAAAAAATACAAAAAGGGCAAAATCAAAGGCTGATTTTATTGCAAATAATTTTCATTTATTCAAATACTCGCAGCAGCGCAACTATTCGAATAGTCGCAGTTGAACGACTATTCGATTAATATTCGTACGAACGGTTACAAACCGGATATTCGACTAATCGGTTTTCAGGTTATTCGAATAATTTTAAGAGCTCTAGTATATATAGTAAGCATATCGTATGAGTAAACTTACCTGTGTGCCTTGCGCAGACTGTCCCGTCGACGCACTGACGGCTCATTATTCTCCTTATTGCTTTCATCTTTACGGCTTGCCTTCCGCTTCAGGTATGGACTCGCGTCATATTCTGCGTAATCAGCATCGAGTGCTGCTTTTTTACTACTTTCAGACAGCTGTTGTTGATTGCCCATTAGCTTTGTTGTTGCGATAATTTTATTGTAAATATTTTTCACTAAAATATCTTTTGCAAAATCCACCGCAAATTCACCGCCATGACCATCGAAGATGGCAAAAAACGAGATTCCTGTATTGTTATTGATATTCTCTTCGATGATGTATCTGATGAAAAGTGTGAAGAAACCAAAAAAATAAAAAAAGTAAATCATTAAAGATTCTGAGGTGTAAGAACAGGTGGTTGATTGATAATGGGAAATAGAAATGAATATAAATAGAAACAAGCAATCTTTCACGGATTATTTGTTGAGTAATACCAAGTGTGTTGTTGTTTGCTAGTGGGTATATAAATATTCAATATGTAATACTCGTACATATATATTGTACATACATAAATACTTTTTACAAGTAATACTTAACACGCGTTGAACATTTGTGGCTTTATTTTGTATGGATTGTGGGGATTTCGTTGTGAATGAAGAACTCTGGTCGCGGCGCCTTCAAAATGTAAGGAAAAGTGAAGAAGAAGGAGAGTGGTGCGACACTGACGCCCACTCAGATTTTTTTGTCGTGTGCAGTAATTAGCTAATGGCAAAATTGTTTTGAAATTTTTGTTTACTATGTCCGAGTCCAACTGGCATACGCCACTAGCTGATGATGAGGTGATAGGTGCCATTATTACTACTTTGAGAGCGCGAAATAAAAGATGAAGGCAGGCAAGTAACTCAATTAAAATAATTAAGAATTTATGAGGGTAGTTCAGAATTTATGGAAAGTAATAACTTTTTTTTTGGCTTGTATGTGACAGAAAAATAATAGGTTGTGACGTCATGAAAGAAAGAGAATTTGACAGTTCACTTTGGGTTGTTGCTAAAATCTCATATTTGCAAAACATTTGCGGCTATGAATCACATATAAGTTTTCACTTAAAACTATTTAGTAATGTTTTATGCTTCTATAGAAACAACAACATTAATGTTGATGACAACCTGTTCGACGTAATTAAAAACTTAATGCAATAAAAGAAAATATTCTGATAAATAAAAAAAAAATTGAATTATTAGGGTTAGGTCGGTTGAATTGTTTTAAAAATGTTTTATCATGTCTTTTTGGTCGGATTATGCTTTTATCGACAGACTTTTGTGGAAAATTGGTGTGTTTTGACGATTGAAAGAAACGCTGGCATAAGTTCACAATAACAAATGGAGATGACGACGTTAATCTAGACGGATTAACAAATATTTGTTTAAAAAACGAAAATTCCCGTTATTTTTTAAACACACCTCGTATATTAAGGCAAACAGCTAGAATGACAGCTAAAAAAATAAGCGATTTTTGGGAATTACAAAAAGAAATTAAGTATCAAATGTTCTACATGAAAAGTGTATATTTTACATATCGTAAGAATACACTTTATACAAGAATACAGATACACTTTTGGAAAATTTTTTAAAAATATTTTTCTAGTTACATGTTATTTCCATATTCCGGCCATAAAAACTAAAATGGCGAAGTTTAATTTTACCCAAAATTTTGGTCGTTTTTGGCTTGCCAAAATTCGAGTTTTGATCAAATGGTATGTCATGTGAACTACATATATACATATGGTACAAAACAAGCAAAAAAAAATTTTTAAGGTAATCGGATCATTAGTATATATAAATGGTCAGAATGACGAGACGAGTTGAAATCCGAGTGACTGTCTGTCCGTCCGTCCTAGCAAGCCATAACTTAAGGAAAAAATTATATATCTTGATGAAACTTGGTACACTTGTTCCTTGCAAAAAATGCGGACGATAATTGCACCACTGTCCATGTCCATAAAACGCCATTAATCGAAAACATATAAAATGCCATAGCTAAGCTCCAAAATATGTGCGCTCAAAATTTTGAAAAAATGGACCTGGATTAATTTACATATCTCCTAAACCATTAAAGCTACAATAACCAGATTCGCTTAGGACAAATCCTATAAGAACCACTACCGAACTGGATGAAATCGAATTATAACCCCGCCATCTCCCCATATAACGGTTTTGTTAAAAACTACTACAATTTTACAGCCGAAATAGTAAAAGAGCGCTTTATAGGAGCCGGTGTCAAATTTGTATGTTGGGCGTGGCATCGCCCACATATAGGTGAAAATCCATATCTTGGGACCTACTTGACCGATTTCAACCAAATTCAGTACGTAATATTATTCTGACTTTACTACAATATAGTGTAAAAATAGAATAGAATAATTGAAATCAGACAAAAACCACGCCTCCTTCACATATAACACAATTTTAAATTTCATCTGATTCTTTTACTTTCCAATATACAAATCAATAAATACAATATATCCGAATCAAACTCTGCACAAGTAATGCCATCAAGGTATTTCATCTTACGCCCAAAAATTGTCGAAATTTGTGGACACCAGTGCGTATGACACCTGAAGGTATTTAGCCGGCTTTGACCTTTACAAGTTGCAAGAGTATGAAATGTTCAGTTGCACCCGAACTTAACACTTTCTTACTCGTTAAAGGTATAATCTATTGAAATTTGGAAAAAAAAATGGTTATTTTGTTTATTTTCACACTAGGTGTGCTCCATAATTTCCATTCAACATCTGGTAAATGTGTTGAGTGAGAGGCCATATATTTTATAGATCGTTGAGTTGGAATCTTACAAATCTCGAAAAATTTAGTGAGATATTCTTAGAGAGTTCGAAAGTAAACCACCCGGTATTTATATACATACATATATATTTTAGATTTTAGATACTCCCAATATGCACATAGTATATAACATAATGTGGTTGCGTTGTTTGGAAATGAAAAATTAAAAATTACCAGTTAAATTTTTGCATAAACATTATCTATCAGTTGCTAAGGCACGGCTGCAGTGTAAAAATCGCAGATGTACTTACATGCGAAAATCAGCCTTCAATAAGATAATTGCACATGGGGAAACATCGAAAACAAAGCCAAGAAGTAATGGTGTCATTAAAATATAAACAATGCGACTGAGGTTTGCAAAATCACGCCTAGCATGACAAAGACAAGGCATTTCTTTAATAAATCTGTTTTAAAATCAAAAGTGCACGCTTACTGAGAATGATGATTTCGACTTGCGCAGAAAGTTGATAACTAAGCGTGACCAAAAATTAATTTGACAACAATGGAAGTTTTCTGACAAAATGTTGTGATTTCAAAACCTTAATACGAAAATATTTATACAAAGTTATGTTCATATATTAAAACATATTATTAATGCGTGTGGCAATGAACTTGAACTATAGAAGTGATTAAAAATTCTGCTATGTTTATTTAAAATATACATATATATGTATGTAAGTGTAATTATAACATAATACATATGTATGTAAATAGGAAAGAAACTAGATTGAAAATCGTGGGAATTGAGCGGAAGCTTTGCAGACTTTTTTGTGTACGTCACAGTTAATATTTGGCGCAGGGGTACAAATTACAGTCGCATAAAACTATAAATGAGGGAACAAGTTATAGCAGCCACCCACCAGTATGGAAAAGAGGTGACCTTTCAGCTGATAGAAAGTGAATTTATGCTTATAGTACCACCATTTTAGTAAAAAGTATAAGACGCATAAAAAATATGAACACAAATTAGATAGTGTATATCATTAAAGTTAATTGAAAGAGGTACTGACATTGTATCTTTAATATGTGGCAACTTTCCATACACCCTTATAACCGAATATACTAATTGCCGCTTATCTGATTCGCTCTAAAGAAAAATTTTCACTCTTAACCCTTAATTTTCACCCGAACACGCCTTAAAAAAATCGTTTTCTAATTTTAGACTATTTTAACGCGAAAATCCTTGCAAAACAGTTCAAAACTTTTTTGAAGCGTCATTGTCATGGATGTTGTTTGAATTACCAAAAGATCAAAGTCTTTCTATCTACCAAATAAAAAAAACTCTCTTAAGTGAAATAATGTTTGATTTTATGATTTCAGAAAAAATTTCGCTCAGGATCATTGCCGATGTCGACGGTATGATCGCTAGAGTATAAAGGGTGTACCATTCATTTTAGCAATTTATCAGATATATTTCCAGTGATAAAGCGGTTTCTTTGACCTCTCTAATTTACTATAAAATGTATATGAACATCTGTACTATAATTAGTCCTAGAAAACTAAGTTTTACACTGTTAAACATATATATAAGTACAAATACTATTACAGAGAGATAATTCTCAAAGCATTAGCTTAACAATAAGCAGCATAAAAATAGAGACAAATTACATGGCTTGAGAAACAATTTATTCAAAACGGCCACTAGAATTGGAAGTATATATTTTGTTAAGACCTAAGCTTCCGAAGACTTAAGAGGTTTCGTGGGTTTGAAAATTTCAAAAAATCGATTTTGTTTTTTTGTCTTTTATTAAATGGTGTAATATGTCTCAAATATGCTTCCAAAATCTCAAATCGATTCAAGTAAAATTCTAATAGATAGCTCCTTCGGATGTTCCGCCCATTATGCCACGTTAGAACATTTAAACGCGTTTATCGCAAAACTCAATTTTTTAAGTCGGTGAACACGATTTCTTGAGAAGTCATAAAGCGAATTTGTTAAAATTTTAGCACACATCTTTGAAATAACATTTTCTAGTCATTGAGCGTATAATTTTTATTTTTTTATTACAATTAATTTTTTCCAGCCAATAAATGCGAAATTGATTAAAAATTTGTGTTTTTTTTTGTTCAAAGTCTGTCAAAAACTCAAATTTTTTTCCTTTGTCCAACAAGAACGAAGAGAGATGTATCCCTGTAATAACGAAATATTTTTGGTTTTTGAATTTAGAGGAATCAATAATGAGTACTGCCGGCCACGGCAAGAACATTTTTTTTTTTGGAGACGTCAAGGAGATAAAGTAACAACGGGTAAGTTTTTGAAGTTTTTAAATACAAATTACGCAAAATACTGTTTCAATATGTATTTTTGATATGCCGAATTGTTTAAATTAAAAATATATGATTGTATTTTGAAGCGCTGATCGCACCTAACCCCTTAAGCATAAATACAATTTGAGTAACGCAAGTTTTGGTATTTTGAAGCTACCTTTTCCTGTCGTCAGACCTCAAGAGAATCTTGACATGAACGAAATCGTTGAACTGAGGATTATTTAGGAGCAAGAC